AATGCCTTGAACAGAATGCTGCTGATGACCGCAAGGTTGTTGACGGTAGCAGACTTGGGATGCTTCTCAATAGCAAGGCTGACAATTCCCAGAGTCTCCAGGATAGCATCGGGGCCAGTTTCCACGGCGTGTTGCCAATTGCGGTCAACGGCAGCAAACGTTGCGGCCACATCGACCTTCCGAGCCAGGAGTCGGAGGGTCTCCTCGCGGCCATCATCTTCAATTTCCTCAGTGATAGCGGACTTGTGGCAGAGTAGAAGGAGCTGATCAAGGTGAGAGGCAGACACCATGAAGGGAATGTGAACGAAGAGGGCAGAGAAGAAAGAGAGGACAGCATCATGCAATCTAGAGTTCTCCTCGCCACTTCCCAGGCTGATCTCGAGTAACTCCAACGAGCGACCAAGCGCATCTGGAAGTGCAGGGATCATAGCTTCGCCAAGTACCTCGGCCATCGAAGCGAGACACAGGACACCCATAATACGAATCCGCTCATCATCTTGTCCAATACAAGCCACGCCGGCAACCACCTGGGCAGCACTGGCCACCTTGAAAGGATCCTTCTTGCCATACTTCTCAGCGATACGGTCAATGCAGGCCACTGCAGCATGCTTGAGCAGAATATCCGGCGATGATTCCACAATGCTGACCAACGTAGGCAAGAAGTCCAACATGCGTGTTTGTGAGACACCATCGTTCTCGGGGTTCTGGCGCAAACGACCCTCCAGGAGTCGAAGAACCTTGCGGCGAAGTTCGTCGTCAGGTCGTTCGAGGAGGACTTCGATAGTATCAAGGAAATCGACGAGAGACAAAGTACCGAACAAGGCGCTGAGAACATCACCGCTCGCTTGGCTAACAGGCTTGACGTTCTGCATAGATTCGCCAATGAACAGAACCTTCTCCAAGATATGAGAGAAGTGGGTGCGGATCTGGACCGTCTGGTCGGCCGAATCTGTTGCGAAAGCCTTGGCCATTTTCACCTTCAGCGAAGAGTGCTTGAACAGGTGAGCCAGTGACCTGAGCAGATCGACGGCGACCTTCTGGGGTTCACGACCGTCATCACTTCCAATTCCAAGCAGGACTTGGGAAATGCCAGGCTTGGGCTTGAGCGAGTCAATGACCAAGTCCAAGAACTTGCTGTATGTCTGTAGGACAGTTAGTCACAAATGGAGGCATCATAATAGACACAACGCCACATACCTCAAGTTCAATGGGTGCGCTGGCATCAGAAACGAGACCAGTCATCAAAACCAGAACATCCTTGTCCATGGCGTAGCGATTAGCCAGCATAGCCAAAACAGCAAACAGGAAGTCCAGAACTCCGAGTTTGGTGACCAGAGCATGGAACAAACGCAGACGACGGTGAGCAGGAATGTGCTCAAAAGCAGCGGTAAAACTCAACAACAACTCAGAAGTTCCAGAGACCACGTCACGCTTCTGGTTACGAAGAGACTGAATAAGAGCGGGAACGACCTGATCGATGGTCTGGTCGATGACAGACACGGAGTATTCATCATCCTTACGGAGAACGCTAGAGCCCATGAAGGTGAAGATGGGCATGACGCTATGCAGGACCAATTCAGGGGCGATGATTGACAGGCCAGCAACGAGCAGGAGAGCCGCGTTCTGAACTTGCGGGCTATCTGTCGTACGGACACAATCGACAACAAGATCCGCTCGGATGACTGAGGTGTCAAATTGAGGCTTGGCAGTTTGCTTCGACTTGTTGACAATAGCCAGCAGGCTACCGAGAGTCAAGCTGAGCAGGTAGCTCATTCCTGACTGAATCTGCGACTTGAAATGATGAAGAGCTGCAAGCGTCTGGAAGAGGCCATCGGCCAGTTCAGGGTGAGACTCGGGGTTTGAGCTGTCCACCAGCTCCAAAATGAATGTCGTCTTCTCCATCAGATTGCTGAGTTTAGCTTCATCCTTGATAGTCATGGCAACCATATTGGTCTGGCTGGTGCGTCTCCTCTTCGGTGCCGGTCCAGCAGATTCCATATCAGTAATTGAGACAGGGATCTTCTGCAGGAAGAATTGAAGCACAGAGCCCGTCAATTGCACACTGCGCAGAACGTCCTTGCATCCATTGACAAGGAGAGAGTCCGACTCCTCAAGCGAGATTCCGAACAGCTTCTCCGAAGCCTCAATTTGTTTGTCTTCAGGCACCAAGACCCAAACATCCTTCATGCGGCTAAAAATGGAAGCAACGAAAGGTGCTCTGAGAGAGTTGGAGTAAGGGCTCACGTTCGAAAGAAGCACAAGAATAGCATCCTTTTCCTTCGGAGTGACCGTCAAAACAACCTGCTCATCCATTTCGCCCACCGAGACGCGTTCCTTGTCACAAAGCTCCTTAACTTTCAGATCGTCGAGGTCTCGCCAAAACTTCAGAAGAGGTTCCAATTCTTTGGTACGGGTTGTGCCACCTGCCTTGTCAATTCTATTAAGAAGCTTCAGAAGTCCCAGCTTGGGGGCAAGGAGGGGCATGTGAACAGCATGAGAGCACAAGAAAGTGAACACGCTGAGGCGAAGTGACTTTTTGATCTCGGTTGCTGCGGAATCAGCAGTGGACAAGCCTCGCAACGTCGTCTCGAGGACACGACCAATATGATCTTGGTCGAGGATATATTCCTCTAAACCGGGGAGCAGGACACGCTCCACAAGCTTCTGCACATCACGCCCGGTCAACCACTTCACATTCTTTGTTTGCTGGCCATATAGCGAGTCATTGGCCCAGGGCTTAGTATCAGACTTCTTGTTCTGCTTATAGATGTTGCCAAGCGCGGCCAGGACGTCTGTTGCTGCCCGTCGAATGCGTTCGGTCGGGTCAGCGAACGCTACCAGCAGGAAGGGCAGCAGAGCCTGAAGATCGACATCAGATGCGGAAGATAGGGCCGAAGCGATCAGGTTCAGCGCAGCAACTCTAGTGCCAGTAGGGTAGGAACCGGTTGATATTCTGGCCAGGAACGACAGATATTGTGTTGATTTGAAGGCATCGGTCCTCTTCAGCGACGGCAGGTTGACGAAAGACTCAAGCTTCTCCTCAGAGCCAACACCAAGAGCAAACACTTGCACGAGACTCTCAAAGACAGGTAGATTTTGGGCGCTGAGGGCTGAGACATCCAGGCTCTTTCCAGCGAGAGACTCGAGGGCAGGTGGGAACTGATCCTCCGCTTCTTCAACTTCAGCATCACCCATTTCCACGTCTTCCAAAGCCTTAGGGGCAGGTGCAGACTCTATAACAATTTGCAGATTGTGTTCCAGGGCAGGGATGTCCAACTGAGATTCTTCGATCGCCTTCTGGAAAATAGGGCGCAAGGATTCGGACTGAGTGAAGTGCTGTACGAGCTCAGCAAGCTGAGTCTGGGCTTCAAGAGCCAAAGCACCCTCCCGATGAGCATTGCTAGTGGCGTGAAGAACCAAAGACATTGCCTTCGCCGTGTCCGATTCTTCGAGAAGACGAGCATTGAAGATCTGAGAAAGAAACTCCAAGCGTCCCAAGTCTTTTTGTCTCGAGAGATCGTTCACGCAGCCAGCTACCAGACCAAGCACGAGATGGGAAGTCTTGTATTGTGTAGAGAGCTCAGTCAGCCGCTGCACGGGATCTTCCAGGCGGAGCACTGCCTTGAAAGCCCTCTTGGGGATTGTCATATCTGGTTTTGCTTGCGCAAGAACAGACAGACAGACGAGACCCGATTCTCTAGTTTCCTCTGTCCATGAGCCAGCAACAGCCTCCATTAAAGAATCAAGGAATTCTTCGTTGAGGGAAGCTTTGTTGGCCAGAACAACGCAAACCATGTAACAGCCGATAACCAGCTCCGAGACGTCCTTCATTCCGAGACCATCATTCAAGACCGGGAGAACCTTGAGGATGACATCCTCGTGCTTCTCTTTCTCGAGATCCCGGCGACCAGAGCGTCCAGCATCCAGCATTCCAGCAACTGCTTCGGTGATCATTCCAGCCCAGAATGTCAAAAGCGCATGGTGATGCGCCCGCTGCTTGCTAACCTGGAGGGTATATCTGTTGAGAGCCGCAAAGAATAGCTTGTTGGTAGTAGCGCTGTGCAAAAGAGGATGGCGTGGGGGGTTGATGTTGCTCTTCTTGTACGGATTCAAGATTTTGAAGGTCGGCGTCAGATCTTCGGGCAATATCGATAAGAGCCTTAAGAAGAGCGGAGTAGTGTAATATGGCAGGAAAGTGAGAAGAGTGAATTCGGTGTTGTACTCGTGTACCCTGTCGAAGAGTCAGCTCAGCTATGGAGAGGCAAGATTCCTCCTGGCATGGAAATATCCCAGTCGAAAATGGAGATCGTACCGGAAGCGTCTGATGAGCCAGTCAACGGCCCTCACGGCCGGACTCAATAAGAGTCTGCCTCCAACCAAAGCCAAGAAAGCTTCCAATACTGTGTTGAGCTCCTTATTCTGGGCAGCGGTCATCTCCGTGCGGTCTTCCGAGATACTCTGTTGGCTGAAGATCGTGCGCTCGAACGGGGCGAATCGGGGATCGAGTTGGCATAGCTCCTGGAAGCCTTCGTGACATATCGCATAAATAGTTTCGAAGTCCTGAGAAGTAGCAACTCTCCGGTCGTAGATGAGAGATTGCGAATGTGAAATGCGCTGTGCTTTGAGGTCCAACTGGTTGGTCGACTTTGCCGCAACCTGCGCAAGCTGCGCGGCGAGAGATGAAGCCATGTTGAAGGATTTCTATGTCGCTAGATCGGAATTGTTATGATTATCGACAACTGTACCGCACACCCATCCCTCAAAAAGCGCCTCCAATTTGATTTCGACACGGATTTGGAACGTTTTGGCGGGCAGAATTTCCCCAGCGCCGTGGGAATCAGTGAAGCTCGGAGCAACTTTTTTTTGGAGACCGGAAAAAAGTGCGGCAAGCGGGAGCGGAGTTTTTCCAGCCATCATCACCGCCCGCCCGCCCGCCTGCCCGCCCCATTGGAGAGCGGAGATTCCCATTCTGAGAATGCCTAGCTTAATTGTCCAGGAGTATGGATTCGTCTGGCTCCCAGGTGAGTAATGATTCTTGAATTGCATATCTCTTCACTCCTTCTAGCTAACAGTGGAACTTTTTGGCCAGGAGAAGAAACCCGTCCCTCGCTTCGCCAGCTTCAAGCCTCCTCCTCCGCCCGAAGCTGATCGTCCGCCCGAGCGCCCGCGTCGCGACAACACTGGCCACGAGGACAAGTCGAGGTCTCATTCAGAGCGCCACTCGAGACATCGGAGCCATCGTGATCGGTCTAGATCGCGAGAGCGTCGCCGCAGACACAGGGACAGGGAACATCATTCACATATTAATAAGGCCAACCACCATGATCGCACCACCTCCGAAACCCCGCATACTTCGTTGTCCAACCGCGACGCTACGAAGAAGGACGATGCGTCGGACCTCTACGTCATTGATGTCAAAGGAGACAAGTACAACTTGATCTACGGCACACTTCATCGCTACAGCGTTCCTGATTATTACCGCGTTGGACGAGGTAATGTGCTGGGCCTACCCTCGAGCTACCGAATAGACCGGGACAGTGTCGTGGAAGACAAGCTGGTTATAAGAGACGAAACGCAAAGGAAAGGGCTTTCCCGAACCAAGACAAAAAGCATTCTCTCGGGTCTCAGCAAACAGAACCCCCGGTTGCTCCGCTTCAAACCCCAGTCATTGCTCGATGCAGCTGCAGACTTCTCCAAGGATTATCTGCCTTTGAGTACTTCCAGTAGTCGAAGGCATCGGGCGGTTTTTGGAGACCCTGGTTTTGACGATGAGAAATACGCATATCGCTCTATTCATGGCAAGGCGAAATTGGAAGATCACTTGCCCAGCGATGTCGAAGCCACGTCCGACAGTGGCGCAGATGAAGATGGCATCCGTGGAGATCCTGATGAGCAGATCAAGCAGAAGAATGCGCTGTTGTCGCGGAACTTGGATAGAAACCCCGCAGACATTGGTTCCTGGTTTGAGTACATCGCTCATCAAGAATCATTATTGCGCGGATCAGCGGGCGAGAACAAACCCTTGACATATGCAGAAAAGCAGAGCTTGGCTGACATCAAATTGTCTCTGTACGAGAAGGCTCTTAGTAAAGTTGGACAGAGCGAGGCAAAAGACCGACTTCTAATTGGCTTTCTCGAGGAGGGTGCAAAGCTCTGGGACACCAAGAAGCTCGCCGCGCAGTGGCAGGCCGTTCTACGTTCCAATTCGCAATTTATAAGCCTATGGGTGAAATACCTTGACTTCTGCCAGACTGAATTTCTAAATTTCACATATCAACGGTGCCTTGATACATATATCGAGTGTTTGAGATTGAATCAGTCTGCGCCAGAGAACCCTGGGAAGTCCCCGGTTCAAATGTATCTCTTCCTCCGCTTGACACTTTTCATGCGCGAAGCGGGATTCTCTGAGCATGCAGCAGCTCTCTGGCAGGCAGTACTAGAGGTCGCTTTCTTTCGACCAGAACCTTTGAAGGAAAGGCATGATAGCAAAGAGGTCATCCCGCCATTCCTAGACTTTTGGGAGTCTGAAGTCGCCCGGATAGGTGATGCGGCCGCCAAAGGTTGGAAGTGTGGCAGCAAAGATCTACCCACTCAGCAGGAATTCAATCCCGTGTTTCACCTCGATCCCAAGAAATTGATTCCGTCCTGGGCGCCATGTGAAAGAGAAAGGATCACCAATGCGCGGTTGCCTGCTTTCAGTCTGAACGAATCCGAGCAGGACGACCCTTACCGTGTGATCTTGGCCTCCGATCTCGATGAGATCCTGACCCTGGTGTGGGATGTGGACTCGCCGACACTACTGCTCGATGGCTTCCTCTCTTTTTGTCGCCTTCCGCCGATGGTGACGGCGGAGAATCAGAGCTCTATTGGCCGTAGAACCGGTGATCCATTCGTTCGAAATGAAGTCATGAGCAGCTCAATCTCTAGGATCGATGACTGGGTTTCGCGCGCATCCTCAGCAGACGAATCTACGGCGCTGTCACCCTTCCGATTCCCTCAACATAATCTTATCAGCACAATTGAGACCCTTATACCTGAGCAAGGGAGATGGTTCTCGTCTTTAGACGCGTGGAACACAGCCACCTCGAATTCCGAATTTGATGTTGTTCCTATGTGGGTGCGAAGGGCTCTGAGGTTGCTGGTAGATGCCAATCCCAGCAATGATGACTTGGCTGAATTTGCGCTCTGCGTCGAGTTCTCATGTAGTAGCAAAGACGCGAAGAAGTTTGCGAAGTCTCTACTCAAGAAGAGGTCGTCTAGTTTACGGCTGTACAACGCATTTGCGCTGATGGAGCGTCGGTCAGGCAACCACGGCGCAGCTGATCATGTCTGGGCAACAGCGCTCTCAATGAGCAGGGCATTCCCCGACCATGACAGAGTGGATAGCATCCTACTGTGGCAGACATGGCTGTGGGAGCTTTTGGACACCGGCAATATAGCTCATGCTTCCTACATTTTACTGAGCATCCCACAAGACAGCATTGATCTGAGTGCTCTACCCCAAGACTCAACTCAAGCTACCTTCACACCAACCAGCCTCCTCAAAATCCAAAGCGTAAGTTCAAATTCTCCTCTGATCATCCTTCTTCAGCACTAACATCCAGATAGCATCTTTCCGAGCTCCAAGAAAAGGTCCTCGCCCACCGCAAGGCCACCAACTTCACAGCCAGCACAGCCTGCCTCGCCATCCTCTCCTACCTCACTAACTCCCAGGACCTCCACAAAGCCCTCGAAGCGTACACGCACGCTCTCGACCGACTCAGCCTCCTCCCCCAGTCATTGAACCCCGTCCAAACCTACACCACCGAGCTCCTCCACCAATCCCGCGCAAGACTCCTATACCACCACATCCACACCCGCCGCACCTACAAACCCTCGCACATCCGCGCCCTCTTATCCGAAAGCATCACCCTCTTCCCCCACAATACCATCTTCCTCTCCCTCTTCGCCTGGACCGAAGCCCGCTTCCGTATAGACGACCGCGTCCGCAGCGTCGTCCGCGACATCGCCCGCAATAGCAACATCACCACCACCATCACCAAAAACCCCACGGACCCTTACAATCTCTCCACCCCACCCATTCCAATCACAACGCACCTCTTCTCCATCTATACCGAACTCAGCCGCCCAGTCTTCGCCGGCTCCACCGCCCACTCCGTCCGCGCAGCCTTCGAAGAAGCCCTCGGCGACGACACTCCGAAGTCCGCACCCTCATCCTCACCCCGGAGTTCAACATCACCATCATCCTCCTCATCAGCCCGCTCCAACCCCTCGACCTGGAAACTCTACATCCTGTTCGAACTCGCACAGCACGAGATTCACCGCGCCAAGGAGGTCTTCTACCGCGGCATGCGCGCGTGTCCCTGGTCGAAGGAGCTGATCATGCTGGCATTCACGCATCTGCGAGCGGACATCCTCCGCCCGAGTCACCTCGGGGATGCACAGCCGCGGAAAGGGAAAGAAGGGATGGGTTTCGATGAGCTGCGACATGTGTACAATGTGTTGGTGGAGAAGGAGTTGCGGATCCATGTTGACATCGAGCGGGAGCTGGATGATCTCGCGGTGAGGATGGTGGAGAGGCAAGGAGCGGGCGTGGTAGAGTTTGGCGGTGGGGTCATCCGGATGCCTGATGATGGGGATGATAGTGAGGTGGAGTCGAGGGTGGGGGCGGAGGCGAGAGCAGCGTGAAGGTTGGTTATGTAATGTAGTTATCAATATGTCCTCAAAAGTTGCAGTTCGGGATGTACAGTACAATGGTTTCTCCACGGGGGGTGGGGGATTATTGCAGCGAGGTGAGAATCTTGACAGTAAAATTGATTCCTTGCACTCGAGCCTAAGCCGTATATCTAGCTACCGTACCGACCTAACACTATATAAACCCCCAATATGTTACAGGACATAGCATCATGAGACAAGTACAGATGGTTGAATGTAATAGACACGATAGAATGCCTTGCACACGATAATGAAATATACAGTTAAACAAACAACAATCCAAGGCAAAAAGAGATAAAAAAGAAATTGTCGTTACTCATCATGGTATCATGTCGTAAGTAAACCCCCACACCCACCACTCTCTTCCTCATTCTTCTTCTGTATATCAGAAGTGTTCCTTCCAGAATTTGAATTTGATCTCCTTTGTCGAGGTCGACAATGCCGCCTCGCGGATCTGTCTCGCAGCCGCATTGGGGCCGCAGAAGTAAACTCCAACCTGCGTTGGTGTATTGTCGTATAGCCCGGACATGTAGCTCTGATCCTGAAGGCCATCGCGCATGGCGCTGAACAGGCGCTTGAAGTCGGGGCGACCGAAGTTCGTCCGACTACGGAGCTCCGTGAGGGGATCGAGGTCCTGCCCCACCGAATTCAGGTAGATGTTCGCGGCCGTGTCGTCGTCGAGGCGTTGGGTAAGGTATGTGTGGATGCGTAAGAACTCGACGCTGCCTTCGTAAGCAGCTGTAGATGCGGATTGGGACTCGAGCGATGAGAGCAGAGCCTGGAACCACTCAAATGAAGAGGTATCCTTGCAGACCCAGATGAACTCGACACGGCGGAGCCGACGGGGTGGGTTGGGCCGAGCACGTAAGTGCCAGATGCTTTTGAGGATGGACGCCCATGGGGTGACTCCGATGCCAGTGCCGATGAGGACCGCGATTTCGTTCTCGAAAACATCCTCCGCCGGCGCTCCGTAGGGTCCGTCCACGCGTAACTTCGGCATCTTTTGGCCGTTCTGGAGCGCCACTTCGTACATTCCCAATGGGTCGAGACCTTCCAGGTCTCTTGCCTGTGCGGGCCCACAGCCTAGAGCATCTCCGAGGGCACGGGTGAAGTCCCCAACCTGGCGGACGTGCACACTGATATAGGGGTCGAAGGGGCAGGAAGTGATAGTAAAGGGATGCCATTGGTTGCTGGAAACTTCGGGAACTTGGATAAAGAGCCACTGGCCGGCCTTGTATTTCATGCTTGGTTTACGGAACTGGATCTCCATGGCATCTTTGAAGAGTCAGCTCTCGGATTGGTTTTAGGGCGTAGATGTAACTCACCGTAGGGATGACGGATCACCTTAGTGATCACGGTATCCCGCCTTGACCGAATCTCTCGATAAAGCCTTTCGCAAAAGTACAGTGCCCCACCCACTAATTCCCATCTCCAGCCTTCGTATCCCAGGCAATGGTTCCAGAACCTTTTCCCTGCGAAGGGTGAGATGGGGTCCGTGGTGTCGCGAACAAAGCAACCGGTAGCGTGGGTGTAAAGAGCCAGATAAAAAGGAACGAAAAGATGGTGTGTATACCAAAAGGTTTCGAACGCCTGCTGCCGGATTCGTTGGTGGGCGGTGGTGTACATCAGCATCATGCACAAGAGCATTACATGGCCGGTGATACCTCCTGCCTCTGTGAAATGGATTTGGACTGCTGTGACGGGCCGAAGATGATTTTTCTCGACATTGTAGAAACTACTGTCTGTTAGCATGTGTGACGCACTCTATCCTCAAAGGCACATACTTGACATAATGAGCAGCAGTATGAATGATGGTAAATATCAGGAGAGAATAAGCAACCTGGCGATGGAACCATATTGCCTCATCTAGCGGTAGCCATCGCAATCGCGGCCTTAGGGTCTTGAGCAGATTCCTGCACATGGGCAAAAGAAGAATAGCCGCATCAAAGCTCAGGACCAAGCCTGCACCTCTCGAGATCCAGACTGAGTACTTTAGGGTGTTCAAGGCATCGAGTTTGTGATTAGTCACTTGTAAGTACCTATGGTCTGTGAGTAAAATGACGATATCCAAATCGACAAGAAGAGACTTACCAGCCGACTGCAAAAAGCAGAATCTGCAATCCCCAGAATAGTAAATAGAACCAGATCTTGGATCCGCTAAAGTGAGATTTCCAGGAAGTTGTCATTGTCGTTATGGGGAAGATATGCATAAAGGAGAGTAGGTGTCTTTTCCGATATTGAACAAGTCATCGACCAGCGACGATTCTTAGATATGAACGAACACAAACACCTATGAGCTCTAATGAATGTGCACGCTGTTATGGAATCTTCTCTTCACGGCAACTTGCATGTCTGGATATTCGCATAAAACAGGCTCCCTCGCCAATTTCAGCTGCAGTGAACGAGCAGCCAATGACTTGATTCCTGCGGACGATAAGGAGTGTGACCAGGGCGAGTTCCTGAAGTTCTGGAGAATCAGGTATGATTCTAAGTATTTTTAGTACATCAATAAAGTCAGCGATGAACTTTGTCTACTCTCAGACCCCGGCGCTGATAGTCTATGCGTAGAAAAAAAGCCTTTTCTCTCAACTGCCGTGTCGAACTCTTCAGCGTGCGGAGAGTCCAATCAGGGGAGAGTGTTCGGGGCCAATTGAGTGTCAAGAAACAGACCGAACGCGATCATCGTTATCGTGATCAAATCCAGCATATGAGAAGTTCTTGCGAGCTTCAGTGTGGGGTGTGGCGGTGGACGTCGTCGAGAAAAATATCAGGTTCCCAGAGATATGGTTCTGGTTGCAAATGAAGAGGGGAAAGGCGCCTTGACGAGGAAACGTGTTGCTATATTTACGCGACCCCTGCTCAGGGCCTCAGCCCAAGTGACGCTAGGGCAGCCTGCAGGAAACGGATCCACTGGTTGAGTAGCGTAACTTCGTTTACCACATCCCCAAGAACATGTAAAGGCTCAATGTGTTGAAGGCGTCTATTCTCTCTCATGCTTAAGCCATCGCGTGGTGCGCGTGCTAGACCGTGAGCTCTGCGCTATGTCCATGAGATTCCGCAACGATTGATCATATTTGACCTCGTATTCCCAAGTAAGGAACATCAAATGGCAACTGTCACACCGTCCATCATGAGGTTTGACAGCTGTGGGCCCATCGTCATGCCGTGATAATTGGTGTAGCAATTGCGGTCATAGCAGGGCCCGAGGAGCCGGATGGCTTGGTGGCTCTTCGTCACCATCCTGTCTATCTCATCAAACCCTGGTGCCCACTACAGGACGAACCATGTGGCGCCAGGATGCTCTACTGCCTTCGAAACTCGGTTCGTTCAGCCAACTGCTCACCACCTGCTCTCCATGTCTCGTGGAGATTGGCTTCTGAGAGGGTGGAGTCGGGGCCTGCGTTCAACCTATGAGAAGCGATATGCAAGCGCGCTTCCCGTCACACATGGTCCGAGCGGCCATTGAACAGACACAACACCCTATTGTGGCTGTAGATGCACTGGCAAGCAGAGGAGATTAGATTTCAAGATGATGCCAAAAATAAGGTCTCCTGCTGGCCAAGGCAAGCCATCCTCCAGGTACTAGGCCAAACCAGAATTCACCTCCGAGGAGAGCTATCAGCCATGACTTGGTGGGGGATGCGTTGGAATCCGCATGTCAGGCCGAAGATGTTCTAAGGCCGCTTGGCGCTGCACGGTTGACAAGTTCCATCACAAAGATTCCGTGATAGCGACTGCACAAAGACTCAGACCATGTGGATAACCCACATCAGTGGCCTTTGTTCGAACTTTCTCGTAGACGAACAGCGACAATTTACCGAGGAAAAGACGGTGAGTGGCCAAAAAAAAAACAGCCTTTCTAGTTTTGCTACCACCGAATCATTCGCATCCTTGGGCATGTCCGAGACCAGAAGCCTTCAACACAGGGCGCTTACACTCAATGAACTGAGCGACATTTAATGCGCCGGATCGTGTGTAGCCTGGCTAGGCGCCTTACAAGGGGAACGCAAAGACGAACAGGACATCCAGCCACTTGCTCCCCCGCCTTGTCGGTCTTCACAAGAAGGCGCTCCACAAGAACCTTGGGGCAGTTCAATCAGAAATGAAGAACAAGGTACTGGTACAGATGCATCGGCCGCTAAAGTGTGTTTCCGGAAGTCCTCTGCATGAGTGGCTCCACTGTCACGTTCGTCGACGTTCAAGACTCGCTGGAGACGTCCGTCTAGCCAGACTTTCGCCGCTCAGTGGCTATTAATTGCGTCCGGTAGCGCCCAACCGGGGCTTTTCAGGGCTAGTCAACCCAAAGGCCATTGGAATGGGCCATGGCTCCTCCGACTAAGCGCGCCCAATCAAGAGTACAGGGAGATGCGTTTCTGTGAAGAAGCAGGGCGGGGGATCGGTGAATTCCTGTAACCAGACATTTTCAATTGGTCTGATAAAAGGAGCGGTCGCTAAAACAGAAGCAGTTATCACGTCCGGTCATAATAATAGGTGAGAGACGGAAGGATGGGAGGTGCATTAATTTGGACTATGGATGATTCCGAGTTGAAGAAAGATTCCGGTCAGGTGGTGTGTGTACTTCTTTTGCCGCTGGCCGCTATTACTATCTTGGTGTATTCCGCCTGTTCCCCTCCACTTTCACCCACTCTCTCATAAAGCCCTGTCGAGGGATCGGCCTTCCGAGGCATGATCTGATCCTCTTGGAGCTGAACCTTCTGAGGTGATGTGATTTGGTGATACGAGGTTGCTTCTATCTTGACATTCACAGCCCGACGCACGGGTCATTATCATTTCAACGCTTGATCTACCATGCAATCAAGAAGGGATTATACCATCACTATTATACCTACTCCGTGGACCTTCAGTTGACCTAGTGATGGAGTAAAACTCACCATCAAGCCAGAAGCACTAGCTAAGTTGGTGATAAAACACCAAGAATAACCATCGCCGAGCATAGACTCTTTGGGAGGACGGAAGACGCTGCTCATACTCCACTTACTGTACACAACATATCGCCTGTCATGGGAAGACTTATCAAGAACCACTGGGCTCGTTTGATCATCCTCACAGCGGCAGCCTGTAAGTGTTGTTCTCACTTGAGTCAAGTTCAATTGCGATCGCTAACACCGGACGCTTCACTGCCAGTCCAAATAGGAAGCGCAATCGAGGGTTTCATCTGGCCCAAAGTGTTCTGGGACTTTATGACGAAGAATCTGAACGGCGCCGTCACGCCTATTCCAATACTCCAAATCCTAAATCTGCTGATGGGGCTGATTGGCATCGCCTGGGAATGGCCTTTGAAATATGTCGCGGGCTCGATACCACACCGTAGCATCGAGTTCCGATTGATGCTCTATCCTCTCAGCGCTCTTCTCGCTATGCTTCTCTACCAAGGGACGGACCCGGCGATATACTACCTCATCGGGATCGGGGTTTATTTCTGGGCTTATAGCGAAGGCGAGGTATGTACCCCACGATCGCATCGAATGTCTGGTGATCGAGCTAACATGAGCACAGGTGATATGTCCCGAACCTTGGACCCTGCCTAAACGAAGCGAATACAAAGTATAGTGTGGCATTGATTCATTCTGCCAGCTTTTATGAAATACTTACGACTACGACATTCACGAAGACAGTTTTGCGAATACCCTTATATCATTATCGGCGTCTGGGAAGAGATATATTTTGAGAAAGAGTCAGTAATGACCATTTCCAGCTCTTATGCTGGAGGAATCAGCATTCAAGGTCTTGGTGGTGATCTATGCTCCAAAGAGCAAGTGTACTAATTACCTTGGGCTTCTTGTAAATACTATGATATAGCTAGCATACATTATCCTAGGGACTACAAGACATATGTCTATCCAAAAAAGGATCGATCGCAACCAATTTTTGAACTCCTGGCTCACTATGAGATGTGACTGATCAATTTATGCCTGAATTCCGAGGCATCACTTTACTCACATGACAGACAGGCTAGTGTAGTGGTGCAGCGATGAACCAAATTACTCCAATGGGATTAGTCGTTCCTGGATTGAATCAACTGTGGACGTTGGATATTGGATAACTCCATCTCATCCGCTCGAGGCCTGACAGACAGGCAACGCCACTGCAATTTTTGTCATTGAGATGAGCTCATTGGATGGGACAAGAGTCCGCGAGCGCCACTAACCCAATCACTTTGATCACTTGTAAAAATAAAACCGTCTACTCATTTCAACTGACTCCCAGAGAACAGACTCTACATCCAGCTTAACCTCCCGCAGCAACACAATGTCAGCTTTGCTCCTCACGAAGTCTCTTGAGGAAGACATCGGCTTGAAAGAAGAGAGCGAGGATGTCCCCGTGAACAAGAAGACCAGCTTCAACGGGAGGTTGAGCCAATACTTCCACACAGCAAAGAACATCGCCACCGAGCCTCCTACCCTCAAGCCCACTACCACCACCACCACCAACAATGCCTCGCAAGACCCCGCGACGACTCGCTCAAAACGTAAACTCTCCCCACCACCGCAACAATCATATCTAGAGAATAGACCAGACGAGTCGAGCATCTCCTCACCCTCCTACAAGCGCCAACGCACAACAACCACCATGCTACGTCGCACTTTCCCCTCGACAAACACAACCACAACACGAATCACCCGCTCCTTCACCCGCTCACGTTCCACCCCATCCTCAGCGCCAACCCCATCTTCACCATCACCATCACCCTCATCCTCACCACTCACAACCCCCCAACCCCAACCCAACACCCCCAAAAGCACCACCACCAATACCCGCCACCGCCGCACCCGTACTCCTAAACCCTTAACACCCCCCACCACCCCTAGCCTCCTCCGCGACACAATTCCCAAAAACCTGGACCTCCTCCTCGTCGGCGTCAACCCAGGCATCCTCACCGGCGTGACAGGCCACGCATACGCGCACCCATCCAACCTCTTCTGGAAGCTGCTGCACTGGTCAGGGATCACGGCGATCCGGCACCCACCGTCGGACACCTACGCGCTGCCGGGGCTGTACAACATCGGGAACACGAACATCGTGGAGCGGCCGACGCGGGACGCCAGCATGCTCAGCCGGGCGGAGATGGACGCGGGGGTGCCGGTGCTCGAGGCGAAAGTGGCGGCGCAGCGGCCCGCCGTGGTGTGTCTGGTCGGGAAGAGTATCTGGGAGGCGGTGTGGCGGGTGAAGACGGGGCGCAGAATCCGGAAGGAGGAGTTTCGGTACGGGTGGCAGGATGAGGGGATGAACATGGGTGGGGGGGTTGTTTCTGGTGATGAGAATGGTGGTGGTGGTGAGTTGGGGCCATCGTCGTCGTCAGCAGGAGAAAAGATTTGGCCCGGGGCGAGGGTGTTTGTGGCTACGACGACGAGTGGGTTGGCGGCTGGGATGTCGGTGGCGGAGAAACAGGCTGTGTGGAATGAGCTGGGGGAGTGGGTGAAGAAGCGCCGGTGGGAGAGGGAGCAGCAGCAGCAGCAGCAGCAACAACAACAAAGAGATCGTAGTGTTGATGAGGATAAACCCAGTTAGGACCAACAACAACTAGATATATACACCTTCAATTACTAAATCAAAAAGTCCACAAGTGGCATAATCCTTCCAGATCTGATATGGGTATTTGTATTCAGTTATCAAAAAGTAGACACTAAATTAGTCCACCTATTTCCACCACAATCAACATATCACACGTTTCTCAAAACCCCCAAGATTGGTTGGTACCATGGTACCGGGTTTAAAAAACCATATTTCATCCGCTAGAAACACATGGGCTCATCAAGAGAGAATAAACATAAAAGAAACAATCCTGAACACTTTTGCAGTAGAACAGGAAAACAGCTAGCCAGCCAGCCAGCCAGCAGTAGCATTAGCTCATTAGAAAGCGTCTAGCATCATCTATCGAAGAGCAGGGCCGTTGGCGAAGTTGGTGTCATCCTGACGCTCACGGGACTGGAGAAATCACAAAACCAGGTCAGTAATTGCTTCCTCGAAACATAGCTGACAAAGATGATGGAAGAGTATTTCTGGTAAGAACCTACCTGAGAGCTCTGGAATTCACCGTTCTCCAAGATCTTGATCAAGCAATCGTCCTCGTTGTCGGTGCCGAACTCGTTCTGGAGGCTCGACTTGCTGGCGTTGTCCAGGATACCCTGGGCTCCGTGCCTGGGTTGGAATTCCGTTAGTACAGGATGGCAATGAAGGGGAAAGTTGGGTTGGAAAGGGAAGAAGCTTACTTGTGGGTGACGAAGATCTTGAAGCCGTTGACCACGTCGGCCAAGGGAATGGAGCGGTCGTTGCGCCACTTGTTCACGATGTCGTTGTCGTCGACGAAGATGACGAAGTCATCAGATGAACCCTTGTAGAACATCTTGGAGGTTTGCTCAACGGCGCGAGGCATTTTGATGGATTTGGGGGGTTGACGATGGAATCAATTGAGTAGATTTGAAAAGATAGTGGTCACTGGAAGTTCCTCGTAGCAGGCAGATTTGACTGTCGATACTGGAGGAGAAACAAGAGAAGGTGGGGTGGGAAGAAGTGAGATAAAGTAGTTGAAGTAGAGTCGGATGGAGTGTGGAGGAGGGGCTGGTTGATGACGTCACTAAGATGTTACCCGAAACAGACTGTCAAGATGTTGCGGCAATCAGACAAATGCGGAGTAGCGATAAAGGTGGGATATCGTGTTGATGAAAAGCTCAATTGCTTGGTTTCTTAAGATAATAAACGCTTGTGGGTTAACTGAAAGACTGAATGGCCTCAAGTTGAAAAAACCACCCTTAAATAATACTACCAGCGTGGTCAAAACATGCCATCGTGCGCTGAAGTGAACACCGACGTCATCGGTCTTGTCCATGCTACGTCGACTGATCCGCTCAACAGTACCAGTATTTTCCCTTCTTGTAACTTCGGTGGAGAATCACTACCAGCTCATTAGGTGATCAGATTCCCTCATCACTAAATAGCATCATCATCATCATCATCATCATCACTACTACTATTTTCGTGCCGCACTTCATTCCAGCAATTTAGGTCGTTTTGGTTCACTAACGCTGCTAATTACTATCCCCACCTCCCGCCAAGCACTCCATCAAACACCTGCATCGACTTTCCCCCACGTCCTCGAACCCTTAGGAAACTGCAAGAATAATACTGAGTACGCCCAGTACAATTTTTGGAAAAGTTTGTCCGCGATATGCATGCCTATGCTTGTCCCTCCGTGCTTGGTGACCCCTGGAAATCAGTTGCATCATTGTCATCATGAAGCTCCACTCCCCACCCTCATGCGTCCATTCTTTTTCGGTTTCCTCGTTGACATGGAATTCAACATCCTACGGATTGTCGATGGCTTCGTAGCTGAGCTCTCCGGGGGCTCCTGACTTGTGTCCTTCTTCTTGGTCAAAGGAGTCTCAGGGCTGGGTGTTGACTTGGGCGTGCCTCCCATTTTGAATGTCCTGACACGTTTGACTGTTTCCCTATTATCGCGTAAAATACAAGGGCCCTCATGGTCATCAAGCACCGGTCCATTGAATCTCGGCTTCTCGAGTCCAAGCTCCCCGTCGCTCTTTTCCAGTCTCTTGTAACCGCTGTCCAACGGACGAATTTCCCTCTTGGCCGAAGCAGCAGCCGCTCTTGTTGCCTTAACGTTCACAAAGCTCGCACGTCTCCTCAATATCTGTTTTCGATTAAGATTCCTCCTCATGATCGAGCCTGGTCGGAAAAGAAGGTCACCCATTGCTAGAGTCATGCCAGGATATGGAAGCGCATTCCGTGTATATACCGCCGAGATTACACGTTCCAAACGGATTCGGTCTTGTCTTTTAGCAACAAGCGTCGTCACGAGTTCGTCTGGAAGCTCCTGAGAACGCTCTGTATCGCCATCCGCTGGGTTATGTTCTTCTAGGAGGTACGGGCAATGTGTCCTCTTGATAACTACAATAGGGTACTCCGCTGGCGGTCGTGGTGGGCCTAATGTTTGCATCGATGGTCGACGAGACAAAGGAAGCACCGTGCTATCCAGTGGGACCAATTCCAAGGAGACAAATGCGTACCGCCGTGACCTCTCTATAATATCTCTTTGTACTTTGGTCGACGTTGCCGCACACTTGAGTATCTCTGTTGTCCATTTCTTCTCCTCGCTTGCAGACGATGCGCTGAGCACCAGCTCATATCTCTTACCAGAGTTATAGAATACCAACTTCCAGGAGAACACACAGTCACAGTTAATGCCTACCGACTCGTTAGTCCAAAAAGAGTATGCGGTGAAAAGTCCAGTCACCTTCGCCATTGTGCAAGGTGTCGATTTTGAGATCCGGGATGTGAAGGCACATCAGCGCTTCAAGCCTTCGATTGTCGTCGTTCATGCTCGCAAAAAGAATGTGGCTGCTAAATAGAACGCAGACCATGAAGCTGGCGGCGGCAGATTCTGTAGGGGAGGAATAGGTAACATGCAAGACACCGCAAAGTATCAGCGGCCCAAGCTGCTTGTATAGATCAAGGGTTTTGTTCTGTTTTACAGACACTTCCTTAGTAATCTTTCGGAAATGAAAAGGGCACATGGAGACATACCCCCTCTGGAAAGTCCAGCATGTTCTGTAGTTCCCTCGTCTTAAAGACCAGGTCTCTGTTTATGGGGTTGTTGTTGATTGAATTGACTTCTTGCACGACCCGTCGAACACTTTCCAGAATCTGTCGAATGCCATCATGGGCGGATGGATCATCTTGAATATGTGTCCAACGGAGTAATTCCTCTAGTAGAAGGGGGTACTTGCACAGGCGCTGTACTGGCTATAAAGTCGTCAGTGCCTGCATTCTAATCACTCGAGCGAGCAAATCATACCTTTATGAGAAGATCATCCAAGATCATAGATCTGTGCTCCTCGTGCGCTTGTCTATCAATGGACGCCACGGATTTCGATAGTGCCTCAATACCCAAGTCGAAGATCCGCCAGTTGGGAACAGATGAACGAAGCAGCTCGACATCAAAAGTGAGCAGACCATAGCTACTGCAGAACAGCTTGTAAATCATGAAGTTCCTTGACTAAGAGGAGAATGGTCGTTAGAGAAGGAATCAAGGATCAAACAGGGGAGATCTCACCAATCTTCCTACGGCTTGCGCAACCTCTAAAGCCTCTTTCGTCTCTGCGGCGAGGGCCCTTAGACGTGAGTTTACCGAAGCTTTGAAGCTTCGCGATCTTAGAGACCTTGAATGAAGTGCTCTAAAGCCCGATTCAAAGGCGCCAAAGTGCTTGTGGGTTGGTTGAGGGACTAAACTATCGAACTCAGCTCCAGCAAGGTTGGAGATCGGTGTCAGCTTCCGAAGTTGGGCTAGGAAATCTTCGTGTATATCTCGAAGCTGCTGAACATTATAGTAGATCTCCGGCCTGACGGAGAAGATAAAAAGTGCCTGTACGGGGTCAGCTCAACGGCGTGTGGAGTCAGGTTGGGAGGTGGGTAGGAAGTGAAAGGTATACATCAGCAAGTGCTTTCAAACCAAAGACGTAATCACACTCGGTGCTAATCAGCTCTCGCAAAACACGGCGCCTCTTGATCGCTCTGTTCTGGGCGTCCTCATCGATGGATGAACTCAGGGCTGGCCTTATGCTCTCTAGCGACTCACGGAGGTCCGACTTGATGCTCGGATTTGTGGTACTTTGAGTAGTGCCCCGTGATCGCACGACACTTTGACTAGCAATGCTGATTGTTGTCGTCTTTACTGTCTCCAGGTGAGAGGAGTGATTCGACCAAGACTCCCACTTCTTCTCCTGAGCTTCTTGGGTAAGCGGCACTTCGGAGCCAGTGTATGGATCGGACTGGGGGATCTCCATCCATCCTTCGACGTATCTTTGTGGATCGACAGGAGGAAAGCCTCTCCGCGATCGCAGACTGTTCACCCATCGTTTGAACGCTGTTACCGGGTCTGAGCTTGCTGGAACGGCGTTGCCATTGTTTGGTCTTTTTTCGTGTTCTGGCGTCTCCAGCACAAGCACCGGCGTCTCGGCGATGTCCTTGGATTCTTCCATGACGGTAGATCTGGCAACCGACACAGTTTAACCTGGCTCGCTCTAGTTCAGTATAGAGATAAGTCGACTGGTGGCTGTTCGGATGTCAATTCTGACGATGGCCTTACTTCATCAATTTGAAGCCTCCACCCGTGAGCTAGAGCTGCTCCTTCAAGGCAACCACAATGGAAGGAAGCCACGACCAGCGCAGGCGAGTAAGGAGGGGAAGTGTCGGGGATATGCCTTTGCCTCCGGTCGACAGAGAGACACAATGACAGTACTTAGAGCCATTGCCCTTAGCAGTCCACATTTTTCAAGCGGCCGAGAGCACACCACTGCACGGCGCTGGTTCAGAATACTAGTTGAACTTCGGCGTAATCTGTGCTCCCCAGCTATCATGCCCGGTAGTGCATAAATGTCACACCAGTTACTAAAAGCTTCTCGCAGTGCAAGTTCAAGGACATCCTATTAGTCATGAGACTGGCAGACAATTGGCTTCAGAATTGTCTAATCATGTAAGTAATGTAATGTGCATTGTGCATGGTAGCAGACAGTGCTGCAGACATTCAACTACTAGTTTAGTAGATATTTTGATGTAGGCTTACCGAGAGGGGAAATTCCCCCAGATTGTCCCGCCGCGGCCAGACCCACCACCGTCATCTTCCCGACTGTCCCAATTCTGGTGTCGCGAGAATCCATCCAACTTGAACACTCACCTTCCCTCCCAAAATAGCATGGGAATATCCATGGACAACAACAATAATATCCATGCTCCTACAGTCGCCTCCGGACCTACGTCCGGAGAGGCTCCTGCTCGCGATCTGTCCAAGCTCGGTGTCGTCGATCTCATGCAAGAGAAAGAACGCATCGAAGCGGAACTCTCAGCTCTTAGCAGCGTGCTCAGCTCTGTAAGCACCATCACATACCTCCTCTGCTCTCTCCTGCATTCAACCGGTTACTAATTTCCTCATGCACTACGTAGCATGGCGTTCACATGAATACATCTTTGACCACATTCGATGGATACCCCCGAGATGACATAGATGTCGCCCAAAGTCAGTCTCGATCGCCTGGTCTACAGTTCTCATGCTAAGAATTCCGATAGTACGAACCACCCGAGCGCGCATCATCAGACTACGAACGGATCACAAAGAAGTCATGTTGCTTCTCGAGAAGGGGATACATGATCATTTCGCGAGCCTGCAGCGTGCGCAGGCTACTGCACCATCCGATGGCAACACTAATAATACGCAAGCTGTACCAACCAGTGCAGCCGATAATGACGCTGCAGGGAGCGAAGCAGCCGGAGTTCCTTTTGCGAAAGTCAATAGTGTTGTCCCTGGAAGCCCTGCGGACCAAGCCGGACTTAAAGCTGGCGATACTGTACGGAGTTTTGGAAGTGTGAACTGGTTGAACCACGAACGTCTGTCGAAAGTTGCTCAGGTTGTCCAGCAAAATGAGGGGGTACGTTTCTCGTTCTGTGTCTCCTGTCTCCGCCGCTTCTTTGGCTAACCTGCAATCAGCGCCCCGTGGCGGTCATCATCACCAGAAAGGATACGAACTCGGCCAATACTCTTGAGCTCAGCCTGGCGCTCACTCCTCGCCGTGACTGGGGTGGCCGGGGTCTGTTGGGTTGTCATCTAGTTCCTCTATGATACGAGCGAGTTCATCATGAGTACTGGCATTACCATGCATGATTCATTTCGTCCCTATCACGATGCATGTGGTATGGTTTCATGACTTTCCTTTCTGTGTTTGAGCAATTTCAAAGGAGCATCTAGGGTGGCGTTTCAATCTGTCTCCATGAGGAAACAGCGGATTATGATGAATAGGTTTAATGCAATCCTCCTTCTCGACGTTGCCATAATAGGTAGTGGTCTTCTCGTCAATAGCACGAAGCACGGGAGTTCAACATGGTCCTATCTTGACATTGTCATTTAAATTCCTGGGTGCAAGTTTCGCTTCACTGAACGAGAGGGAAGCAAGTGTGCTTCGTGCTCGAAGCGAGCTAGGATGGGAGGTGGAAAATGCACTTGGCAACTTTGCATCCAGTGGATGGAAACTTCCGAGGACTGCAAAAGGAAGCAATATAGAACGATAATTTTGGTTGTATCCGTATTACTGTGCGTAGTTGAACAGATCCTTGTCCTCTGACAGCCTATCTAACTGATTTACTTATCCTACCTACCTATGTATCCTGCTTGTCTCTCACTATGCACTTATTCCGCCGAATTGGGCGATTGGCGGTGGGCGTAGAAATCGAAAGAACGGCGGGGCATGGGGGCCTGAGGCGGCGAGGAGGCACGTGAGTGGAGGCTTTGGTGACCGACTCGCGGCAAAAATTCCATCACTGGTAGAAGAAACCATCCCACCCACTCACTCTTCTTGTTCCTCCTCCACTCCCGTTCTTTCGAACGTCTTTTCTCTCCCATCAGCTGTCGCATCGGCTTGACGACTTCTCCATTTTCGCACTCATTTTGCTTCAACTTTACTAAATCTCTCACATACCCTTCACCATGGCTGACCAGCAAGTACCAACCTTCAAGCTCGTCCTTGTCGGTGATGGTGGTACCGGAAAGGCAAGTATCATCAAATACCCCTCCTGCATTCCTTCTGCTTTCTTGTGATATGATATATATGATATATCGAATCTTGGTTTCCCTTTTCGTCCACTCTGGAATAATACAGTGGTGCTACAGTGCCTTGTTTATCTCTGTGTTCCGGCCATCCTCATCCTCCAACCACCGGCAGAAAAACTTGATTACCTATCAGCCCGATGATACGAGACGCCCATAGCTAACTGTCAAACCTCTCTAGACCACCTTCGTCAAGCGCCACTTGACTGGCGAGTTCGAGAAGAAGTACATCGCGACCCTCGGTGTCGAAGTGCACCCTCTCCAATTCCACACCGTATGCCCCGCCAGCCAACCCCGCTTTGACCGGGGCTCGCCGTCTTTGTTCGGTATCCAGGACTAACTTTGTGAACAGAACTTGGGACACATCCAGTTCGACGTATGGGACACTGCTGGTCAGGAGAAGTTCGGCGGTCTCCGCGACGGTTACTACATCAACGGACAGTGCGGTATCATCATGTTCGATGTTACCTCCCGTATCACCTACAAGAACGTCCCCAACTGGCACCGTAAGTGTTCTTCCACACCGAGCGCTATTCATCTCTGGGTCATGACTGACACTATCCCAGGTGATCTCGTCCGTGTCTGCGAGGGTATCCCCATCGTTCTCTGCGGTAACAAGGTCGATGTCAAGGAGCGCAAGGTCAAGGCCAAGACCATCACCTTCCACCGCAAGAAGAACCTCCAGTACTACGACATCTCCGCCAAGTCCAACTACAACTTCGAGAAGCCCTTCCTCTGGCTCGCTCGCAAGTTGGTCGGCAACCCCCAGCTGGTGAGTCTATACTTCTTACTCCGGTCGACGCCCTTGAACGGCGCGCTAACGATTACCAGGAATTCGTCGCCGCTCCCGCCCTCGCTCCCCCCGAGGTCGCTGTCAACCCCGAACTCATGAAACAGTACCAGCAGGAGATGGAGGCGGCCTCTGCCATGCCCCTGCCCGATGAGGATGACGCCGACTTGTAAGCGTGCGGTCCATGATAAAGCTCGGGGGCTCTCCCCGGTAGATTTATTCTCATGGCTGTCGTGCTCGCTCCCCGGGCATCGCCCGGGGTGCGGCGCGGTACCGTTTGCGAAATCTGGGAATCACGAATGCCACGATCGATCAGCAGTCAGGAGGCGGAGCAAAATTGGGCCGCGAGGAAGACAGGTCGGAGCATGATTATGCATTTGCAATATTTACCACTACTAGTCTAGACTCCTTATTATCTCTTTCAACACACAGTTCAAGTTTAACCACTTTGCCACACGGATGACGGGCCTGCAGCAGCAAGGGAGCAAAAACCAAAAGCTTTTTAAATACGCGAAGTCGCACATAATAGGTACAAAAGTATGACTGGATTTTTCTTCTTGGGCGTGGAGGAGGTATCATTGAGTAGACATTCGAGCAAACAACAAACAAACAAATAAACACTCTTCTATAAAACTGATAGGTCGTAGGTGAGGGCATTCTGCAGGTATAGATACTTGTCAACATGCAGGAGGGAAGTATAACCCCGAGTGCAGATATATCTTCCACCCGCACTGCACCATCTCACACAATTCCCACACCAACACCATAGGTAACCCATACATAATCACCCCAACCACCCACTAACCAATCCACGCAACTTACCAGGCGTACCGTAACCACACAGAGCGTAGCCCCCCTCCCACAACATACTCATAAGAGGAGACCACAAACCGAGCAAAAGAGTGACGTCACCGGCAACCCAGAGGCTGGGAGAGCAGTTGGGTTGAGATTGAGACCCAACCGACGGGGGCAATCAACCTTAACGCTACGGATACCTAGGTAGTAAGATGATCGATTCCCCGAACTTTTACCCCTCAGCCAGCCATTTATCCAGCCGAGGAACAAAGCAGCCAGCCAACACCGCCGGTGGGCGGGCGGGCCATTGACAAATAAACAAACCCCCTCCCCCTTTCACCGCCGCATGCCTTGCGAATTCCAACAGAGCGAGTGAGTGAGTGAGTGCAGTGCAGTGCAATGCCTATGATTATTTATCGGACGTCACGTTGCCCACATTCGACAACCCAAAGCATGGCATCATGGTTAGTTAGTAGTAGTTGCTGGATAAACAGCACATAAGCCTATTGCTGGACATATACACAGCCCTTACCCAGCTAACTAACTAACTAGAACCACCCAAAAAAAAACTGCCAAAATGACAAGGATGGGATTCGAACCCATGCTCTTTCGAACTAGTGGTTTTCGTTCCGACAAGAAGAAATTCCTAAAACTAGCGCCTTAGACCACTCGGCCACCTTGCCTTTGCGTTGAAAACTGTGAGGCCGGGTTGTGTCTATCACAACGCATGGCAATCTGGAGCTTCCGGTGGGGTATGTTTGTTTGGGCGGTGGGGTGTATTGGGAGGAGGCGTTAATCTGGGACATGCATTGCATGGTTGGTTATGTACTGCGGGGATAAATTCGTTGGGAAGTTTAGGACTATGTGATTGGGTGGCAGCAGGTAATTTCCTCTCTGTATGAGTGAGATACTACGTCGGCCGGGATCGAATTGAAAGGATTATTGAATAATATGTCTTACTTATGACATGCATATCATGACTACTGCCGCCATCCGCCGACATACCACGATCTACGAGTTTGTGGTACAGTCTAACCTCACCGAGATCGAAAGGGGTGCAAGAAAGCAAAATCCATTGGCCCATGGCTCTTAAGATATGTTCCTGCATGTACGTATGGCCTTCATTCAACTAAATCACCGACCTCGATGCAGAGCGATCTAGATGCAGACTTTCCAACCCATGTATATGCCATCGAGAGAGCGCGGCGCCAATTCGAAAAACATTAAAGCAGCACGCGAAAGAGAAACATACGAGAAAAACCCAGGGTATCGTTATGGTACTGAGTGCGCCAGAAGAAACGTCAACGCCTGCAATCTTGACTGAACAATAGGACCGTGTCGGCCACATTAATGGATATTCTAAACAAAGTCCGTTAGTGTGAGCGCGCTCTGGGAATATACGGTGGTCGACTTACGAAAAGATGGCGCAGTTGTCGAGTATCCAATCTGGAAACATTCTTCGAGGCCTTCTCGTCCAATGCTCCCTCGACAAGCTCGCGCTTCTGATCCTGAAGCTCGAGAATTCGGTCCTCAACCGTGCCCTTCACCACAATGCGGTGGATCTGCACAGGGCGTGCTTGCCCAATACGATGAGCACGGTCGACAGCCTGCTCCTCCACGTAAGGGTTCCAGAAAGGATCGAAGATAATCACCTGTGAGGCGGCGACCAGATTCAATCCGGAATTACCGGCTTTGAGGGATACCAGCATGACCTTGCAGTCGGGATTGTCCGTGAATTCTATGACAGACGCATTTCTTTCCGCAGGTTTCATACTGCCATCGTAGCGCCGATAGTCCCAGCCCTCACGCGCAATGGGGATCTCAAGCAGGTCAAGCAGAGATGTGAATTGACTGAAAATGATGGTCTTTTCGCTGCTGTCATTGCTGCTGATGCCTCGGAGGATTTCCATCGTCTTCTCGATCTTGGCGCTCGGGATCCAGGTCTTTTCAAGACGGCGCAGATACTTGCGCTTAGCCTTCTGGTTCTTCTGGGCATCCTTGCGGAGCTGGGCAAGGGTCTTCTTGATCTTCTGTGGCTTTTTGCCCTTGGATTTGCGTGTCCTGCTACCACCGTAGTCCTCATCGTCATCGGCGATGAACCGAGACAGGCTATCATCATCACTGTCATCATCACTGTCATCATCACTGTCATCATCACTGTCATCCTCACTCGCCGCTTCATCTGCTGGCTCAGGAACCTCATCCCCCTCTGTCGAATCGGGGCAGTGCACCTTCTTGAACGAGATGTGATCAGTAATCTTCTTGGGGTCGACTTTACCGCGGCAGTTGGGGCATTTGATCTCATTGGCGCCATCGACTCCGTTTCTGACTGCAACTGCAGGGTCTGAGATTCTTGAGAAACATTCTGTACAAGTTCCATGACCGCAAGGAAAGAAAATCACCGGATTCTCAACAGCATCAATGCAAATTGGGCATTCGAGGTCGTCATTGTTCTTCAGTCGAGTAACAACCTCATCGCTAAGAGCTTTGGCATTTGCGACAAGATCTAACTCATCTGATGTCACAGGAGTTTCAATGCTGAATTCTTTGATCAGATGCGGATGACAACACGCCTGTCGGAGTCGGAGGAGCAACACAAGGATGCTGGAGTAATTGCGCCCCATGGTGCCCTCTTCAATGTATCGGTTGACCTGACGCTGAGTGCGGGTTTCGAGGGCTTTGTAGAACTCATCCTCTTCATCGCTGAAGACAGCATGCACCCTCTCGGACACCTTGGGCGGTAGCTGTAGGATGGGTTTACCGTCAATCTTGGAAGTCTTGGTGCGCCGTAGAAGAACTGCTTTGAGCAGAACCTGTAATGCCTGCATTGTCTTCTCGCGGCCAGCGGGACTACCCTTTAGAGGATTTGTGAAAGTCTTGGAGATCGAAGTCAGTCATTGGTCATCAGCAGAAGAAGCAATACTAGCCAGACTCACACGTTGGAATTTCTCGTGGTTGGAATATGGCGCGATCCGCAGAAACTTCAAAAGCGACTGCAGTTCATCCACTGAATTCATCATCGGGGTACCGGTCATGCACCACCGATACATAGAATGAAGAGTGCAGCACGCCATGGCAGATTTGGTTTTCCTGTTCTTGATACACTGGGCTTCGTCGATAATGACCCGATACCATTTGGAGAGAGGACTTAAGCAAGGTAGGTTTTTCATGAGGCCCATGCCCAGGTCTGAGTCATGTTTCTTGATCTCCTCGGCTTTCTCTAGCTTCTTGAACTCGGCTGCCAAAGTGCCGAAAGTAGTGAGGACCACATCGTACTTCCTCAAATCTTTGAAAGTCGTAGTCCGCTTGTCGCCGTGTAGTACATGAATCGAAAGCTGATGCTTGCCAGGTCTGAGGATCCTCTGGATCTCTCTCTTCCACTGATGAATCAATGCAACAGGAGCGATAACCAGCGTAGACTTTCGCTCAGGGTCGGTGGAAGGCCGTGACACCATAAGAGCAATGGCTTGAATAGTCTTTCCAAGACCCATGTCGTCAGCAAGAATTCCACCTTTATTTTCCCCTTCCTCCATCGACTTCATCCACGCGAGACCGAGTTTCTGATGCTCCAGGAGTGTAAATTTGAGCGCCTCAGGGGTCCCTTCGCGATTTTCCTTAGAAATTTCAGAGTCGGGTCTGATAGACTCTAGGAGTTTCATGATTTCCTCTTTGGTCTGCTTTGGATCCTCTCCATACCCGTAGAGATCACTGCGCATGGGCTTGATTAGCAAACCTCCTTTGAAGTCAACAGAGTGTACTCACTTCATGTAATCCAGAGCTGATTCGTAGCCGCCAGGGCCCATAAACGAGATGTCCGACCCACCCAAAATGATCCTGCTTGCCTGAGATACGGTGCTTGACATATCATTGAGCATACTAGAGCCGGAGTTCAGTCGTGCCATGGTACTGGGCAGGACTCTAGGCCCGAATCGAGAACTAGGTGGACCCAAGACACTGGGACCGGCTGCAAGTCCATTCAGATAGGGAGAGTAGGCGCTTCGAAGATCATTTGGACCATTGGGACCCATCTTGCCATTTCTCCATGCTGCAGAATGAGTGTCGAAGCGGTCATTGATTACCTGGCGACCCTTTCTCGGTGAGAGCGGGGGACGAAGAAGATTGGGTTTGAAATCCTGGCCGTCAATTTCTGCGATGTCACTGTCATCACTGTCGTCCGGTAGCGTGACAACTTTCGACTCTCTATAGCCATCATAATGAGGCGCAGTGGGTGGCAGGCGCTTTGGAGGCTGAGGTCCCTCGGGAAAACTGCCTGGAATGTACAATGCAGGGGTTGCATGAGGCACAGCCCTGCTATGAGCTGGAGCGGTGAATGTGGGCCTAGGAGCAGTAGGAGGCGGAGGGCTCCGAGCCAACGCCGAGTGCGGCGTGATACTGTCGTCCTGCGCAAGCTGGCGCGCAAATTCAGCATCGCGACGTTCCTGTTCCTTTTGCGCTTTGAGCCACTGCTCTGCTCGTCGATTCTCCTCCTGCATTAGACGGAAGCTGTCCAGGCCTAGCATCCTGCGCAGCTCGTCATTGCCATCGTCCAGTCCCTCATCGGATTCGTCCTCCGCCGAGCGACGACTTGGAATAGAATCAGGGCTCAAGCGGCGACGAACTCGTTTCCGCTGCTCTCGCCTGATTGGCGCCTCCAGGTCATCCGAGTCATCGTCCCCGTCATCGTGTTCACCCTCAATAGAGGATGTGGATAGTTGACGTTTGCGACTGGTTCGATTGAGAGGAGAGCCGGGGACAGAGCGGGCAGCACGTTCAGCACTGTGCGAAGAGGACGTAGGATTGTCAAGAGGGAAGGCTGGGACGCTGTCAAAATATGTTCTTGACATACTAGGGCTCCGCGTGGGGGATGGAGATGAATTGGCGGTTCTGCCGACGGGCTCCCCGCGTAGCACCGCCAGTCGCGTCTCTAGGCCCTCAATGACATCTAGGATCTCTTGTCTGTCTTGCTCTGCGTCGGGGCATTCTTCTTCCAAACTTTGCAGAATGACATGTTGAAGCTCGAGATCTTCTAGGACCTCCCGGATCGCCTCATCGTTGTTGCGTGAAGCCATGGTAGCTGGTTCTGGAGAAGCCGACACGGCACACGCGCGGGCAGCGCCGGTCGAGACCACGACCGACCAAAGGCGGCGGAACTGCTAGCAGCAGCGAAACAACTTTGAGAGTGCTTGATGTAGAGACAGAGATAGAAGCAAAAAACAAGGGTATTCCAGATAGCAAAAGGCAGAGAAGATACAAGATTGGGGGATGGCTGTCTTTGAGTGGTTAAGCTGGGGTTATAAGTAAGAAGTAGTAGTAGTAGTAGTAGTACGAATTAAAGTAAGGCAGTTGGAGGAGTGGAGTGGAGAGAGTCAAAATGGTGAGGAGCGAGGATGTCTTGGCAACACGCCCTGCGATCAGAATGACGCCTGCCCCGCGGTGAATAACAATCTCCAGCACGGTCAATTCCGGTCCAGACAGTGATTTTAACCACAGAGATTAGTTCTGGGTTGACTTCAATGGATGGGGAAAGGCAAGCAGAGAGCTGAGGTGGAGATAACACGGTAGTGAATTCATTGAGTTAACGGGAAAAGGACGTTGGCGGTTGGCTCTCCTGGTGGCAATCTTTGGCGGCTTTTTTTTGTTTGCTTCCGCTTTTCAGGTTTCCCTTTATGTACTGTACTGTATTGCTGTGGTTTATTTTTTGCTTTGCTTCCCCCTAAAGGCCCCGCTGTGTTAAGAAAAGTGATCTATCAACTTTTATATATTCTCATCATCCACTCACTTGTGAGCTGTCAATCCGATGATTATGACTCCTGTACGGGGCTTGACCATGCCAGATGGCCTGTGGCTTGACTAACTTACAGGTCTATGAATCGAAGGAGGTGCCAGCCACCGAAGGATGTGGCTGGTGAGTAGAAAGTCCAGCACCAGCCACATCCGGGGTTTAGCGCGCAGATGCAAACTATAAGTTAACCATCAACTTCATCAAGCCTGTCGTTAACCACAAGCATTTCTTCTACTATCCTCTCTCCATTATCTTTCCCGAACTAATCTCTCGGAGACACTCAATTTATCAACGGAGACGAAAATTGTACGATGAAGAATATGAAGGGCTTCCATGCATAGGCATTCGGTTCATACGTGCCGAAGAATTTGACCGTGGAGGACACAGGACAAATCATTCGGTGGGAGGTATTTCGAGGTGGCGTTCCTTCTTCAGGTGTAGGCAATATAGGTTCCAGACGATCTTGGGGCACTCTTTATGTCGAGTAGCTGAGGTCCAGCTGCATGGTCGCAATAGCACATGCATGAGAGTGGGATTGTCTCATATCCTTCTGGGCGCATCCCAACAGAGATGGCGCAAATGTCACCGTTTTGACTCAACGGCTTTGAAGCCAAGAATATGCCACGGCCTTCTTCGTCATTCTTATGCCGGAATGTGATTGCATCGCTCGATCTTGTTCTCGGTGCCTGCTGTTGGTTGCCCCCATGAAGACGAGAAACACTGCCGTAGAGCTAGTACCTTAGGTGAGAAAAAGGCCGGTTAGACGATGAGCCAATGAGTTACCAGGAAACGAACGCGGCTACTACAGACTAAAAGCTCGGTATGACTGGGCCCACCCCCAAGCAATGCTTATTTTCATGAACTCCTTGGCAAGCAGGCGACTCTTCTGCAAAGCAGATTGAGAGCTGCTCTGGGTCAACGTAGGATAGATTCAGCACCTTCCAGACCATATAAGATTGGCATGACTATGTCTGGTTTCAATCTCGCAGCTCAAGCCTGGATCTGATTTTCATCCAACTTTGCCAATGACCAGTGTGCGAGGTGTAGAAGAACTTGTTTGGTGTTCGGGAGCGCGTCCTCTCAGGTGTCCTTCGGCATCGCATCGTCATGTTTCAGACTCGGAAGAATGCACCTTGCTGGAGACGAATTTGCAACCTAATTCGAGTGTCATAGCTGAGCCCGTGATTCCTTTTGCTTGAGTTAAATCTAGCTGTCAAGTTGTCTGTACAGTTCAGTTCATTAGAGTGTGGATTGTGGAGCGGCCCCGAGGAGCAGCTCCTAGTCGTTTGGCCGTCGTTTGCATGGACTGATATTTGAGCTTGTAGCATTTGGCAGTACCCCCACAAAATTGGACGTCAAAGTGTCAGGCCTGTTGCTGTGACTGTGTTCTTCCCTTATCTCCCCTCATTATATTAGTCGTACCTGAATACCACCAGAGATAGGGCTTTTCAGCTCCACGTCCCCACGTGGCTGGGAAATCCCCTCATCAGGCCGGTAGCTGTGAATATCCTTCACTGGTAGCCCTGGCTCATGGTGAGACGAGGCACTGTCATTGGCTGTGTATATTTGATATCAAAATCATATATCCAATCTCGTGGTCTGTGAGCCAATGAGAGAACCATACCAGGAATAGAGGCTAATGAACGTCTCAGAGTAATTTTGATAAGCCCTGCTCAGACAAAGAAGTTATATCGGAACTGAGAGTCGTTGATATCCTGAAAATTGTGACTGTGGAAGAAAGTATCAGAGTATGGGGTATATAACAGTCCTTCTCGTGATTATTTGAGCTCGTCTTCTTCTTTTTCTTCCACCACACCCTCTCTTCTTCGTTCGGGATCCTCAAGTCCGTGTGAAAACAACAACGAACACTGAACAACAACAACGAACACGATGTTGCTTGAGACCAAGTCCTCCACTATACTCGGCTTGGGGGTGGCGATTTTCATCACCTGCCTCATCGCCAAGCTGTTTGAAAGGTCCCCTGTTCCTGAAGGAATCCCCTGGATTCTGAGCAAGAAAGGATTCTTTGGTCGGGCCACTGAGCGCTTCATTGGTGTCAACCCCATCGCTTTCATCAAGGATGGATATGAAAAGGTTCCTTCATGACCCTGAAACAAAGGCCAGCATATGTGAGTGATACCTTGGCTGACTTGTGTTCTTTCGTTTCTTAGTACTCCAAGAACAACAAACCGTTTGTGATGCCGAGCGTGAACGAAGGTGACGAGGTCTTGCTTCCTATCAAGGAATCGAACGCCATTCTCTTTGCCAAGGAGACCGAGTTCAGTTTCAAAGCCCATATCCTAGATTTCTTTCAGCTTGCATACACAAGTTGGCCCCTTGCCTTCGCGGAGAAGTACGACTTTTATGTCAAACTTATCAGCAAGGATCTATCGGAGACCCTGAGGACCCCGTCTGTTGCCGCGTCTCTGGCCGAGGAGGCGCGTGCCTGCCTGTCTGAGCTCTGGGGCGAAGACACCGAAAATTGGGTGCAAGTTCCTCTGTATTCGTTTATGGAAAAGACTGCCGGCCGAATGATCAACGTGCTCGCAATTGGGCCTGGCAACAGTGATGACAAGGCTCTTTTGGCGGCCCTGACACACTGCTCCAATGCTATCGTCTTCGGTGCGAATGTTATCAAAGCCTTTCCAGCTTTCCTCCATCCGTAAGTGTGCCCGATCCCACCATTGCATTTCTTCACAGAAGTCCTAACTCCTTCACAAGGGTCGTTGGCCCTCTCGTCGGACTGGTCAACCGATACTATGAGAGAGTGTTCCATGCTCATCTGAAACCCATCATCGAGAAAAAGATTCAGGACCAGAAGGAGGCTTCTCACCCTGACGTTCTGAAGCAGACCCTCAAGACAAAAGTAAAATGCCCATCGTGTGTCTTTGGTTTTCATTTGCTGATATGATCCAGGGATCCCTGTTGGACCTGCTCATCCAGGCCGGTATGCGGAGCAAATGGCCTATGGAGCTCACTACCATGTGGCTGGCATATCGCATTTTCATGATTAACTTCCCTGGTGTTCACACTAGTGGTGTTTCAGCTACCAGTGTCCTTCTGGATATTCTCAGCTATTCCGATGAGAACCTAGTTGGTCTCCTTTGCGAGGAAATCCAATCCATCTCCTCGGACGGTTCTTGGACTGCTGAAGATCTTCAAAAGGCTGTTTTGCTTGAGAGTGCTGTGAAGGAAAGCCTTCGGCTGAATGGTATCAATGCCGTCTCTCCTACTCGAAAGGTAAGCATCCGTTACTCTCTCATTCTGTGTTGCTCTGAACCCCTATTCATTGTTCAATCCGGCAATACTAACCGACATCCTGGCATTCACCAGGTCGTGGCTCCCAACGGTCTTAAACTTGGCAACGGACTTCACCTGCCATTCGGTACTAAGGTCGGCATCCCGCAGTACGCCCTGCACCGCGACCAGGACATCTACCCCTCTCCGGATCAGTACAACCCTTTCCGCTTCTATGCGCCCCACACCCCGACCGAGGAGAGACGCAACAGCCTGATCACTGCAACCAGCGATACCTATGTGGTCTTCGGACATGGTCGTCGCCAGTGCCCTGGACGCTGGATCTTTGCTCACATCTTCAAAGTTCTCATGGCCGAGATGCTGCTCAAGTATGACATCCAGCCCATGCAGACGCGCCCCAAGATCCATAGTAAGTGGACTTTGATATCATATTCATGGCTCAAGGGTGCTGACAAGTCGCTAGGATGGGGCCGATTCCAGCTTCCGCCAGTGACCACAAAGCTCACTGTCCGCCGCAAGAAGGACGTCATTGTTTGATGTCCGAGCGAGGCTCGAGTCTGTGTAAGCTCCCCGTTCTCTAGAAGATGACTTGTTTCATCCACATATCGAGTGAGAAAGGTGCTGACTTCTGTGAGAGAGAAAAAAGAGTTGTGCAAGGAGGGTGTAAAAGGTGGTGTGCCATCGATGAAGTAAGGAAAATGCTCTTGGGTACCATTTCTGTCATTTTACTGTTGTCTTGATCTTGCCTTTGTGTATTCTTGTACGGGGGCAATGTCCACTTCTTGGGATGTGGGCTGGCCCCAGATGTCTTGTAAAGAGGAACTGTGAACCAGAACGAAGCATAAGTCAGCAAGTCACAAAATAAGCCTGTTCTAGAACTGTATCAGAGCAAGTTTTGAATTGTTAACCATATCAATTTGAAGCAACAGTGAACAGATAATAAGGATCGGTTTTATGCACATATGCACGTAGTATTAGTAGTATATCTTCAGGGTCTTCAGGGTAAATCATTATCGCGGGGCAAACTTCTGGTCACGAAGACCAAAGTCTAAGACAGTGATGAGGGCGTGTAGCTGCCGATCAGCTATGCCTTGATTGACAAGTGTGTTCTTTTGACTCCTTGCGGTGTACAGTGCAGTATTACTGTAGGTAGCATGGTCTGCTGCCAGGTGCAGCTACCCGACGAAACCTGACATCATTTACAAAGAATGAGGACATTAAAAGTCATCATTCTGCGTTAACGGGGGACTATGCAAGAAGGCTGTAGTATCGATGTTTGACTCGGATTGTAAGGATTAAACAATGCTGCAAGTAATCATTGCCCCGACCTGTAGAGCCTGGAAAATAGGTTAGTCAGAGTGAGGTTCCATTAGTGATGGAACACTACTGCTGTACCTTGTACTGTACGGAGTTAATGAAGGTGCAGGTGACGGAAGAATCACAGGATTATCCAGCCTCGGCCCACCGCCGGTCTCCGCGACCGCCTCCATTATTTCACATGCGCCGTCCGCCGAATACTCCGGGGTAGCTCGCCTGAATCCTGCAATCCTGAATTCTGAATCCCCGGGCCGGACTTTATTAATACATCCTTTGATCCTCATCACAGGGTTCTCCTTTGAACTTTCTGATCCTCCTTCGATAATACTACGGTCCTTTCAGCACCCTTTGGCATTTCTTGAAGAGTTAACTTCCATCTCTGTTATTAACCGCCAACATGAGTCTCAAGAACGGTACGCTTATTTCTGGATTCAGCAAAAAACATTATGTTGCTGTCTTACTGTGGCTAACTCGAATGCCGCTTCTATAGACGCATTTCCCTCCTCCGCCGCATTCGATGTGATCAACGCTGCCCTGCAGTCGGACGCCGGCGAGCGCAAAGACGCCATTGATAAGGCCAAGGCGGTGGTCTCCTTCAGCCTCAAAAACTCCCAGGGTAAAGAGGAGAGTTGGTACCTAGATCTCAAGGACAAGGGAGTCGTGGGAAAGGGGGCCGCCCCCCAGGGTGGAAAGGCTGACGGTAAGTACCTCGCTTTTCTCGTGGTCTGTACAACCGAATCCTGTCGGGATGTTAATGTTGTTGCGATAGTCACTCTCTCGCTTTCTGATGAGGACTTCAGCTCCCTTGTTAGCGGCAAGGCCAATGCTCAGCGCTTGTTTATGGGTGGTAAGCTCAAGATCAAGGGCAACATCATGAAGGCGACCAAGATGGAGCCTGTTTTGAAGAAGGCCCAGAGCAAGGCCAAGCTATAGATACCCTTTTGGATTTCTGGATCAATTTTTCGTCTTACACGCGTTTCTCTGCCTCTCCTGTATAGCTATTTCCAACAGAAGATTGATAGGCCAACTTAAGAATTTAGAAGGATTTGCATACTCAGCATAACTATCATGACGAGCGCGACAGTCCGTTATCCCTTTCTCGAATGAAGGGCCGGGATTCTGCTGTTCTGGATATGGTGTCTCAACTTCCGAGGCAGACAGGGATAGTGAAATCGGCAATCCCCTTATCGAAATGGGAAAGACTCATGCACGTCGGATGCGATGGATGTATTCAAAATGATTGCTCATGGCTTTGCCAGTGTACCATACAGAGCAGGGGGTACTGCCTATAGGATGTGCATGGGCCGGATATATACAATATATTCTTTTGTGGGTATCATCCAGAAAAAAAGGGTTTAAAATAACTCCTCATATCAGACATGAAGGGGAAGCATCTGAGGAATAAAAAGGCGAGACATATCGCCCTGCTAGTATTCCAAGGCGAGGAAGGAGACGTGCCACTTGGCTGTCAGCTGCACTGCATTGTTCATGTTCTTGCCATGGAAACAAGGAGGGTGCATGACCCCGTAATCTTACATGCCTTTCTTCCGCTCTTCTCTTGCAGGGTAACGGGGACGTAACAATACAATACATGGCCTAGTTAACTACCTTGGTCAACTAGTTGGTTAGTTAAGTTACCGGGAGCGGATGACACACGGACTGGGGAGAACAAGGTGATCAAAGAAACTCTTTCTAGTTCCCTCAGGGAATATGAATAACCTGGTGGAAGGTCCCTAAGTAGACTCATTTTAATTACAAGGCACCATGGGAGCTTATGTACATTGATAGTATTAGACTCCTTTAGCCTAGCAACGGTCGCAAAGTGTAACTATTCACTACCTGAGTGACCTCTTGCTTGTTATTATGTCATGCTGGTCCGATGTTGCCTTGCGTGTGCTCACGTGACAGTAATTTTTTCTGCCAGCGTCTTCCTTCCTGCCCGCAAGAGTCGCGAGTCCGCAAAGTAAAGGCTAAAAAAACCACAACCCCATCCCCTCCCGCAGGCAGAGCACATCGAAACGGAGGAGCCTTTCATCGATATACCCCATACTCAGTCTGTGAGGCCTGTTGCTCTGCCTCTAGTCTCTTCGCATCCGTCTCGTTCCTCCGCCTTATCTCCTCGCTTGTCTTCGCGCGCTGCGCTCCTCTCCTCATCACCCCGGATACGGAACAAGAACGAGCGTGCGACTTCCTCCCTCACATTATCTTGACCCGCCTTCATCAGTCCTTTGAGGAATCTGTAAACAGTGCTCGAAGTAGTCACCACGCGATTTCCCGACATCGCCGAGTGCGCCGAATCTCTAACCACCCATACCAACACTCTTAACCCTCGTGTACACTCCACCCGCAGTGTCGCGCACAGAACGATTGCAGGTGTACTTCCAAACCTTTCAAGCTTAACGCACTCGAAGATAGCCGGCGCTGGATAAGAGAAAGCTTTCAGTATCAGAATACACCGCGCGCCCGCAGATTGCCGTCAATCGTGCATGAGAGCCAACCTCTCAAGGAGAGGCTCCATTGAACGCTGCTTTGTCCACATCGCAGTTGAAGACGTCGCAATAGTCGGATAATACATGTCTAAAAGAAGCGCCCAGGGTGGCCAAGGGGGCAGCTCTGATGATCGAATGGCCGATTTCAATATGAACAACACACCGGAAGAAAAGCCACAGCGGGCAACTGCCGCGCAGCTGGCGGCCAGAAAGTAAGTGAATGTAGACCGACCTTTGCGGAGCCTCTCATGCATGAATTTTATTTCTCCCTGCAGCCTCGACGTGCCCTGCGACGGAGTAACACGTCGAATTAACCTTGTGTTTTTCCTCCCTTGCGTGTTTTCTTTCTTCCCTCCTGCTCCCCCATCGTTCCATCTCTTGATCTCATGTTTCACTGCCCTTCTTCCTTTCATATTCGTCACATATCGTCCTTCACACGTTTTTGACAGACGTAAACCCTGACTGACACGCTTTTCAGAATTCGACCAATGCGCTCTAGACGCCAAACACCCGCGGGCAACGCAGGTGCACCTGCCCCGACGTTTGGTGGCGCCTTCAATCCCATCGACCCCAACACAGTATCCTCCCCAATGGCGAGCTCGCAACCCCCATCTACGGGCTTCACATTTGGACAGAACCAAAGTTTTCCGGGTGCGAACTCGACGCCCAGCCAGTCCACGCAAAGTGGCTCGACCCCGTTCTCTTTCGGTGCAAGCACACCAACTGGTGCAGGATCGTCTTCTTTCAGCTTCTCATCCTCATTCGGTGGCCCTCAAGCAAACAATCCTTTCGCAAGCATGAACACTGCTAGTACTACTCAGCAGTCGTCTCAGCAGCCAGCAGCCTTCTCAGGGTTTCAAGGCTCTATTTTCAGCGCCCCGCCAGCTGGAAACCAGTCTGCAACTCAGCAACAGCAGCCCTTACCCTCTGGCTCACTCTTCGGAGCCGGGGGCGCACAGAGTAACACCGCAGGTCTTTTTGGCGCAAGCAACAGTGCTGGATCCTCTACGCAAAACGGAACTGCAACCCCTACCACAACCAATATCTTCGGTCAGAGCACTACCGCTTCTGCACCTTCCAATGGCATATTTGGCCAATCCAGTGCAGCCAAGCCCACCATCTTTGGCCAGTCGAGTCCATTTGGAGGATCGGACTCAATGCATACCTCTCCAGATGCTAAATCAGTCACCAGCCAGAAGTCTTCTTTCCCTAGTAGCGGTGTAAGCTCAACGCCTAGCTCGCCGGCTCCCTCCAAGGACGACAGCACCAAGAGTGACAGCAAGCCACTCTTTGGCGGCGCTTTCACTGGCGCATCGACCTCGTCTAGCGAATCTCCAGCGAAGTTTTTGTTTGGAGCCAAGCCGACCGAGCAAACTCCTGCTTCCGCCCCTATCTTTGGCGCCACTCCCAGTCAGACCACGGCCGCGTCTACAGCCTCAAAGCCAGCAACAGCGCCTGCTGCTACTAACGCTCCGTTCACTGGTCTGTTCGGCGCTGCGCCGTCGGCTAGTCCGGCCACTCCCTTCAAGAACCCTTTCCAATCTTCAAACCTTTTCTCAGGTGCACCTTCCAGCACACAGAAGCCATCCGAAGAGAAGAAGGATCAGGAGCCGAAAACTGCAGATAAACCGAAGAACACATTTCAATTCAATTCGCCGGCGACCACAGCTCCCTCATTGTTTTCGAATGCTGGCGCCAGCTCTGCAGCGCCAGCTCCTTCGGCTGGATCTTCTCAACCCTCATCAACCGGAAACCTTTTCGCGCCGAAGACGACAGCATCTTCAGACCAGGAAAAGCCCAAGGCGGCAGTAACAAATCCTTTCGGTAATCTGTTCAATGCGCCGAAGCCTGCGACCTCGAGCGAGTCGGTGCCTGAGCAAAAGCCAGCACCCGCAAATCCCTTCGGCAATCTACTCTCCTCCAAACCCACAGAAACACCCAAATCTAGTCAAGCCGAGAAGCCAGTTAATCCTCCGGCTTTTTTCTCATCTCCTGCCGCAGCTACCTCGCCCTCTACTCCTAGTGTCTTTACTCCAAAGCCGGCAGCCCCCTCTCCCGCCGCAGCACCTCAAAGTCTGTTCAAGGTCAACGGAGAGAAGCCAACCGCACCAGCTACAGGCAGTCAGTTGTCCAAGTCCTCCGACTTTAAGGATCTGGAATCTCCCAAGGCTGCAGGAGCTGTGGACAATGCCGTCAAGGCTAACGTCGAATCGGTTCATCGTCTTCGCACTTTGAATGAATGCTTCAAGCGCGAGGTGGCCAATGCCGATCCATCTGGCAAAGACTTTGATGCAATCCTGCAGTTCTATCTGCGGGTTCGTGATACCATTGGGATGCCTGTTGCTACCAAGCGCAAGGCCGCAGAAGATGCTCCCAATGGCGTAGTATCCAAGAAGGTGAAATCCGGTACTCCCATCGATGCAGATGTTCCCACCCAAGCTGCCACACCCAGTGCTGGGAAGACATTCGGGACAGCTCAGGATGCGTCTCCCAACAGTAAGAAGAGAAGATCGATTGATGATGGCGAGGTCAATGGCACCCCCAAACGTGTCAATGGCGATTCGACCACAGCCAACATCTTCGCACAGTCATTCTCCAAATCGAAAACTACCGAGTCTGACCAGGACTCCATTCATAAGGAAACCCCCTCAAAGCCATCCACTCCAGCAGCCAAGCCTGTGTTGTTCTCTGCGACACCGGCGACTGAGCCAGCCAAGCCACAGCTGTCGTTTTCGAGTTCAACCACGCAAGGTTCGACCTCTACCTCGCTCTTCTCATCATCGATGTTAAGTGCGGCAACAACATCCAGTGCATCCAGCGGAACTGCACCAAAGAATCCTTTTGTCCTCAAGCCTCTGGGCAGCCAGGAAAATGGAACCTCTACAAGCTCCTTGCCCGCTCCCCCCAAGTTCAGTGCCCCAGCCGGTGGTAACTTCTTCGCTCAATTCAAGGCCCAATCCGAAAAGGATGCCGAGAAGGAGAAAGCTAAGCGCAAAGCAGAGGACTTCGATTCCGACGAGGAGGATGAAGCTGAGTGGGAGCGCAAAGATGCCGAACAACAGCGCAAGAAGCAAGAGGAGCATGCCACTCGAGGCAAGAAGCATGCTAAATTTGTTCCTGGCAAAGGATTTGTTTTTGAGGACGAGGCTATTGAGCCCGAGAAGACCGGAGAAATTGCTGTTGCAAACAACTCTGGCGCTTCCGTCTTCGACAACCAAGAGAAGTCTGCACCTAAGTCCAGCAACATCTTTGGACATTTGTCAGCTACTCCATCTGAAGCCGATGACAATGTCGATGACAATGTCGATGACGAAGACAACAACACCGAAGCAGCTTCAGACGTAGGGGATGATCAGGAGGACGTGGTGAAGACATCGACCAGTGACTTTGCCTCTAACGCCGCCCATTCTCCTGCACTCAGCAGCGAGGATGGTGACTTTGCGAAGGCCCTTCAGAAGTCGAAGCCGACCAGCAATACTGATGCAGCAGCGGGTGGCCGAAGCTTGTTTGACCGTGTCTCCGAACCTAAGCGTCAAGCCGATGAAGAACAGAAGAACCCTGTT